AAGCTATACATTGCCCCACCACCACCACTCTGGGTACTTACCCATATTTTTCCGTATATAAGACGCCCCCATGTATAAGGTGCCCCCCTTTTCTAATCCAAAATTTAGAAATCTAAGTGGGGCTTAGCAAGGGTGGGGGGGGAAGGGATCAAAGTGCTGCAGGATAGCTTGATCCCTGCTTTCCCCTCCACTTGACTTTGTCCTCTCCTCAGCTTACTTCCATGTATAAGACGACCCTCATTTTTTTACCGACCTCAGAAGGATGGAAGTTTAAGTCAGTCTTCTGCTGGTCAACTGAGCTGATCAAGATCAAACTCAGGTCATGAGCAGAGTCTTGACCGGTGCACCACGAGGCTCCTGCAGTCTACCAATTTCTCAATTACCCATTTTTAGAGTTCCACCAGACTTGCACACTCCTTACAGACACCTACATATGGCTCACTTGGAAGAAAAGGCCTCACCTGGAAAACTTTGAAGCTCAGCTATGTCTAGCATTACCCAGTCTTCCTGTTCCTGCCCCAGTGGTAGCAGGAGCTTTCTTTCCAAACAGGAAGTTAGGCAAAGCTAGGCCTAGCTATGCCTCAAAGCCTGTCTGTTTAGGCCTCTCCTCCCAGGTGAGCCCTATTTAGGGGTCCGTAAGGGGTATGTATAAGTTGAGTAGAACTTCCAGAAAGGGAATTATGGAATTTGAAGAAATCCAAGCATTCCATTCTGAATAGCCGTGCTAACTAGTTCCACAACCTTTCCGCCAAGACACCACGATCTTTACCTATTGAGACCAAATTCCTCCACGTCTCTTCTACAACTTCCTTGTGCAAAGCTCTCTGGCTTGGATCCAACAGAGCCCATTCTTCTTCTGTGAAATAGAAGAAAGGAGAAGAGAAGGCAGCAGCTTAGCTCAGTTGCGATCCAAAAATACAGTAAACACGAGGTTGCGATGAGTTCTTCCAGAAGTTCTCCTCCGTGAAATACATTCCCACCTCTTCAAAGGTCACCAACCTCTAGAAGGAGGAGAAGAGAAGGCAGCAGCTCGGCTCAGTTGCAACCCAAAAATACAGTAAACACAAGGTTGCGATGAGTTCTTCCAGAAGTTCTCCCAGATGAAGCAGAGTGAAAACGAAGCTTGCCAACAGGGTTAAAGCTTTGATCCAACTCTACTGACTTGCTATACGTTGAATATCGGGTTAACGTTTTGGCTGTGCCTCAACTGTTTAGAGATGGAAAAGGTGCCAAAAACAACCGGCAGGCTGTATCAGCTAAGAGGGTAGAACTACGGTAGAACCACCATATCCGTGGGATCAGTACCCTCAGTTTCATTTATCGGCTGCTCGGCAAACCCAACCCCCCTCCCCCGGCTGCAGAAATACATATTTCCAATGTGTATTACCAGCCCTGGCCACTAGACGGAACCAGAGACTACGCTACATACAGGTGGCTCAATGGAAATGCACTCATGGTGTGACATTTCGGAGAGAACAAGCTTCCTGTGAGATGGAGATGCCACATTTTGGGAGCGGGGGGGGGCACCTCATCTCTACTCTCATTCTTCATCTCCTACCTGATCCCTTTGTCCAAAAGCTGCTTCTGCTCCTTCAGGGAGAGGCCACAAAGGAAGCCACGTGGTCCTTCCACTACCTGTGCAGGACAGGAGAGGGTTAAACTGGGTTAGCCCCTAGCATTTATGAAGCTGATGGGCACAAACCTTGGTTTGGAGGCTTGTGCCAGTTCTTATGCATGGCACCACAGGTGCTAAACATTTCCTTCCCCCCCCCCGCCTCCCCGGCTGGATCCCCCACTCACCAGCTGGCGCACACTCCCCTCCTTCTCCTCTTTGGCTTTTCGACCAATCCCCGGCAGGAGCACAGGCTTCCTCTGCCCCGCCTCCTCAGCTGATCACCCACTCAGACAAGGAGGCGGGGCAGGGAACCCCATGTGCTCCCTCCAGGGACTGGTTGAACAGCCAGAGAGGAGGAAGAGATGAGCATGCTCTGACTGGTGCTCACAACATTAAAACAGATAATTTCCAGATTTAAAAAGCTATGAAGCCACCCTACTAACTAAAAATCTATCAAGCAACTTAAACATATTGAAGACTATAAAATCAGAACTTTAAAAAATAATAGATATGTTTACAAGAAAGATCTCAAAACTTGGTAAAAAAAAGTTTCCCTTGGACTGATTAGGCATCCTTCAGTCTCGAGAGACTATGGTAACGTGCTCTGTATGGAGGACTTGGAACAGCTGTCAAACCTACAGTTCAATGCATTCCAATGGGGGGGGGGGAATTCCCCAAAAATTAATGAAGACTCAGAACAAAGCCAAATTAAGTTTGCAAAGGTTTTACAGGGTGCACTAACGATTCCAAACATTTTAAACAGTTTTTGACACACTTAAAATAGCGAAAATGGACATTGTTAAGTGAAACAGGGGGACCTAAACTGTCATCGCTAAGCGAAGCAAGGTCCCGAACATTGCTATGTAAAATTTCCCCATTGGAAACATCGCTAAACGGAGCGCAAGATCGCTCCAAAAACTTCATCACTAAGCGAATACATTGTTAAATGAGGCAATCGCTAAGCGAGGCACCACTGTATTTCTAGGATTTTTCTTTTAATATTTTTAACATTTTCAGAGTATGGATAAGTGAACCAGCAGATACTGATCCTGCAGATAAGCTGTGTCCGTCTGTATTTAAAGCTCAAAGCAGTAAGTAGTTTCTGACTTAGGCAACCCCAATGGGGCTTCTCAAGGTACATGAGATGTTCGAGGATTGGTTTATCATTGCTAGCCACCCGTGGGGTACCATGGCCGAGCAGAGATTTGAGGTTGGACGTCCTGCTTCCTAGTCTGACACTCTACCTGCTACAACTATATTGGCTTTCACAGGGGTCTTACAGCCCTGGATTTTCTGCAGTAAGTCGGGGCTTTTAAAGATGGCCAGAGAGAACCTCTCCAACAGTATGCTTTTACGAATCTCATTTCCAGAAACAAACAGGAAGTCACCTAATGGACATATAAAGTTTTCTTTATATGCAGCTCAAAGAGCTGACTGGGATTCTTACAACGTCTTATAGGAATCAGAGGACTGGATAACTCAGTGGTTTCGATCTCTGGCTGTGAAGCCAGAAGTTGGGAGTTCAATTCCCCGCTGGGCCTCCTGGAAGAAGAGACACCCTGTGTAGCCTCGGGCCAGCTGCACAGTCCCAGAAGCAAGGAAGGGGAAAACCACTTCTGTGTAGTTTCTATTTAGAAAACTCTCAAGAGGGTCATCCCTAGAACAG